TTGTTTATGAAGGATTCATTCTCAGGAAAGGAAGAAAGCGTTCGTAAATGTTAATAATTCTCTTTTAAACTTTTCCACATCATTTAATGGTAAAATCCCACATATTTGTAACTGCCAAATGAGAACCGACAATAATCTTTTAAATCAAAATGGGAAAATTTCACTTTCATGAATTTCTGATTAGATAATTTAATATTAATGACATGTAAGTGGTTTATTTGGTAAGCATAAAGTGAAATTAGTTCATCATTCATGGAAGGAACTTTAAAAAAATTCATAAAATTAAAGAAATAGATTTTCAGGAAGTTTTTATGAATGATTTCCCGTTTAAAACTCAAGAACTAAGCTTATGACGTGCATCATTGTTTTATTTCACTTCCTTCTTTGGATAATAAAAACTTTTATCATTTCTAGATTGACTTTTCAGATTGTTTTGTTTTCTTGTGACATTGAAAAAGTCTAGAAATGAGTAAGTTATGAGATTTTGTCTGCATGGGATTAGACGAAATGATGCAGACATTAATAATAAATTATTAGATGCATATTATGTGACATTGGACAATGTCTACTAGTTTTAAAGTGTATAGTCAAGATTATTAGCTTTGAACCTAGTAGATGACAGGTTTAAGGGGGTTACAAGTGCTCAAGTCGAGTTTAATGGGCACAAAGTGGTTCAAGATGAAAACAACTTGATGAGGATTTTTCTATTCAATTTTTTAGAAACTACTTGACTAGTTGTCGTCTAAGATTAGTTCAAGTGAAGACTTCTCCATTACGTTGTTATCCCCTTTACAGGGCCTTTCAACTAAGCTTTAACATTCCATACAAGCCAATATCTATCTAATTTCAAGTATATTGAATCAGTTTCATCGATAAACTTTGTTTCTGAGCTTTTACAATAATTTATCAAAATATCGAACCTTCCAACATAATATTAATGCTATAAATCTCCCAAAAACACAATTAAACTGCGTTTAGTGCACAAACAATCCAAGAACGGCTTCCCTTCGTTGTTTTCGTTGTTTATTTGCTTTTCAATCGGATGCATGAATCAATACAGCATCTCAATATTGAAATAAGACGAAAAATCGAATGAAAAATATTTGTTTTTCAACTTTTTTCCTTATCCTGTTGTTGTTACGTAGTTTTATGAGCTGTTTTCGTTGCTTTAGTCAAATCTATCATTATTCAAATGACTTGACTGAACTTTAAGCTTATAAATAGAGTAATTTATTGGGTTTATTTCAGTGATTCATAATCGTTGGTTGGTGGTTTGGAACTTAATATATATGAATTACTAGGAAGTAGACTTCGTCTAGCATGGATGGAGAATCAAAAGATATAATCAATTTTCTCAAAATTTTCTTTGGGTAAGATAGGGTCCAAAGGGCATAGCGATGGAGAGATTTCTGGGGTCAAAACCAACATATTGAACCAAAACCTTCTCACGACCCACAACTCTGTAAAAAACTCATGATTCACCCCTGACAGCTTAAAACAATCATCTTACAAATAGACAAACATGTGACGACCGCTATATTATTTATAATGACATATTTAACGTAGCTACATATAATCGACATAAGTATCATTAACTTTAAATATCCATGGGGTTGGTTGAAAATGACGTCCATTAAATATTGAGATTTTTGACTTACTATGTAATATCTAAAACAAAACATTTATGGCAGTGCCACACAGCTAGAGACCTCATCTCTTTAGAACCCCAAAACTTACACATCATTTACGAACAGCTCCTCACGTAATTGTTATCAATTTTCAGACATTATTGTCACCATCAAAATATCATATTTTCCAGATTGTCGACACTTTTGAACTGAATATAAATACTTGTCATGCTTGCGTGAAAAACCATCAACCGTCTGATTGATTTATTTTCGGATGTTGAGGTCTTGTCATGGATAAATCTCTTATTTGTCCTCCAGTCACTGAAAATAGCTTTCTGATGTGTTTTTCTAACAGAGACTTTTGAGCTTTTTGGCATTTACTCTCTCTGCCTTCCACCTACGGTCATTTTTTTCTGATACATTAAAGGATCAAAATGTTTTTGTTATGTTGTTCTAAATAGACGGAAAAGGAATTGCCATCTGGGGAATGTAAAAAGTTTTGAATCAATGCGAAAGCTAAATTTAGAACTGTAAACTTCAGTAATTGGGTTTTGAGTATACAATAAAAGATTTTTTTTTTGAGAGCATATGTGCCGTCATATCCTACATACAATAGCAATAAAAAATTGATACCTTTGTTTTCTTATGCTGTCAAATCTTGTAATCCAATTGGCCTAAAATTGTCGAGAAAATTGATTGGGTTGAGCTGGAAAAGATTTATATGACCTAAAAAAAGTCTTCAACTGACAAGTGTGTTCCTGGAATGGTTTGTTTATTGTTGGATAAGATGATTTGGTAAGGATGTATAAGACAGTGTTGTCTAGCTATTTCTGGGATTATTGAAGTTCATAAGCACATTTATTTGACGAGTTTTATAGATCCTAATGTTTATAAAGAACAAAATAGAATAAATCAGAGATCGAAGCCGATTTTTTCGGCTTAACTCAATTTTTGATTTTTTTAATAGAAAAAAGCCATTTGACACCCATTTTAAGTATTTAAATTGAACTTTACATGCTTTACTATGATTCTGTGTAATATTTTGTCAGCATGTAGCTATAGTGAGCTCAGAATTTCAATTTAGCCGATAATAAGCCGATCGGCTTAAATTTCGGCTTAACATTCTTTAACTTGAAATTCTGAGCTCACTATAGCTACATGCTGACAAAATATTACACAGAATCATAGTAAAGCATGTAAAGTTCAATTTAAATACTTGAAATGGGTGTTAAATGGCTTTTTTCTATCAATCACAGATCCCATTAAAGCCACATCTCCATTCAACCAGAATAATAATGTTTATTGATTTTCTATCGTATACGATGCAGTAATAACTTAATTTAAATTATTGAGACATTATCTGCTTCAACATCATTATCCTAATACAACATTCATCCCTTAAATCTATCGTATTAATTATCTTCTTAAACGAATCTAATAATTTAATGCCTACAATGAAACCGTGACATAATTTATATGTAATCCCTTAAAACAACTTCCTTACACGTGTCTATTGCTAAAGCATATGTGTATTTATATAAAATGATATATTAAAACCTGTAGCATATACTTTTTTTATGGAACAGCATAACGAAGAAGAAAAGAAAAAAATTATTTTTGTCTTCAAACGAACAGTTTTTGAAGCAGAATAAGAAGTTATTATGTAATAATAACCATTAAGAGACCATCAGCTTTAATGAATTTCACAGCGGTGAATTCGAATGATTTTCATTTTGTCAATTTGTCTTGCTGTCAAAATAATAATGCCTGGTGAAAAATTACATCATATGTCAAATTATGTCAGCCTTAAGAGTATCGGATGATAATTTATCGATTTAGTTATCTCAAAGGTGTTCTAATGGATTATGTGGTGTGAGAATTTATTGAATGTTTGGGGATTAAATGATAAGAGCTGTTTATTTTGTGACTGGATAGTTGTAATCAGAGCTCGAAGTCAACTCGAGTCTACTCGGGTTTTTTTGAGTCGACTCAACTTTTCTCGAGTCAACTTAATTTTTTTGAGTCGACTCGAGTCAACTCGAGTTTGTACTCGAAATAAGACTGATAAGTTTGTTATCCATGTTTAGAAGATAACTTGAGACATCTTTTCAAATAATCACTTGTTTATGGTTTTATGCGATTGTTGAAATAGAAAAGGAAGTTGTTACGCAGACTTAAATGCTGTAGAAACTCTCAATTGAATATTTTTGAAAGTTTTGTTTTTGTATTTACACATTAAAGTCGTTAAAAACTTAAACAATTGAAAAAATTACAAAAGTCCTCGTGTTATTGATCGAGGGACTTCAGCGCATTTTTGAAGCAGCGATCGTTTACAGATCATTAAAAGTTTAGAAGATTATTCATTTGAGTGTAATTAACAAATAATTATAATGAGTGCTTATATGGAAAGGCTTTATTATTTAACGGTCAATAAACAATTCGAAATTTTGCCGCTAAAAGTTGCACTACAAAAACATCAATTATAGTATAATTAATAATTTGTTGCAATGAATTTCCATACAGAAATAGTTTATCATTTAACGGTTTTATGAAATTCATATTTTACAACAGCTAGAAAAAATTTGAAATTATAGAGGTAATATTGAATTTTTTAAACGTGCTCATCACGTGGTTTTGTTTATGAAATAAAAAACCATTAATTATAGTATAAATACACTGTTTCAAAACTTTTAACTGTTCGATCGGACAATAATCAATAGTAACGGAGCTAATAAAACAAACCTGAGCTCTCTACGAAGTCTGGTTAAAAAGTTTTTCTTCAGACGAACGAACGAACAAAGTGCATTATTAAGCTCCCTTTTTGTATACAAGTATACAAAAATGCGCTAAAAATGCTTGAATTAAATCAAACCGAAGCTAATAAGCTACAGCTCAAAAGCTTGACAACACAATCAAATTCCAAGAACAACGCCCACCACATTTCCTTATTTAAATTATCATCATAACAAACTTATCTTCATTCCTGTTTATTCCTTGTTTATTATTGTCTAGTTTTAAGTAGTTAGGTTTAATAATTCTTATAAACTTTTATTTCCACTCTTAACTTTTATTTTCTCTCGAAAGTATTAAGGCAAGACTGAGAAAAACTTTCTCCACCGACAGTCGAATGAATAAATCACTTAAAATTAATTTAAAATTGCTGGCTATGATGGAAAAAGTTTTTCTATTTTTGCGGAATGAACACAGAAAAAAGAACCAACACGAGATGTGAATAAAAATCTACAACAATGAAATGTTGAATGCAATGAAATTATTTTGTAAAGTCTGATAATTGAACAGAAAAAAAAAATGTTTTCTTCATTTTCATTATAAATTTTCATCCTTTCCATTTTTATTTGTTCTGTATTGTAGTGAAAATAGCATCAAACAGCGCTGATGCACCGATTTCATACTGGGATGAGAGCTATGCACAACCATATTTTGATAATAGCACGAGACGCGACATCACTGTAACTATTGGACAGACGGCAACGCTTCATTGTCGTGTGAGGAATCTTGGTGATAGAGCGGTAAGTTTGAGATCATGAATTATTGAATTTGGGAAAGTTTAGAAATGATTTTTAACATGTTCATCTATGTCCATGTGAACAATATCTTTAACAGTGGTAGCCAACCTTTTTTGAGCCACATCACACTTTGCAATTTAGTTCTGTCCGAAACCGCATTAAAACATAAGGCTCGTGAGATTTACTGAACCTTTTTGTTGCACACTTGTGTGCCGCGGCACATCGGTTGAACATCACTGATTTATAGTAAAACTAAAATCACTTATAGGGCCGTTCACTTATTACGTTCGCATTTTAGGGGGGAAGGGGGAGTTTGAAAAATTGTAACAAAATGTAACATAGGTGGGGGGGGGGGGGGGGGGGGAGGGTGTCAAGAAGTATGTAACGTTCTGACTGTCTTTTAAAAAAAATTAAATTTTCCAATTTTTTAATGATAAAATAAATTATGAACGTTCAGGGGTGGGGGAGGGGGGTAGTGAGTTGTAACTTATTGTAACAAGGGGGAAGGGGGGGGGGTTGTGAAAAAAGTCGTTTTTTTGCGTAACATAATAATTGAACGGCCCCTATGAACGACTTGTAGATCTTTTTATAACTGCCATATGTGTATACTCATGTAAAACAAGTCGGCTTCGAAGGGAATTGAACCCAGACACCGATTGTACTTTTCTCGATTCGGCTATCCGTCATACACATACAACCAGTTCCAACGCGAGCCTTATGCTCAGACCTATCTACTACAGATAAGTTCTTCGAGCCATATCCACACGACCCAACAGTTTTACTCAAACTTTAAAGAACAAATTGCTTTACAAAACGAAATAAATTAATGTTTAACAATTGAATTATTTACGACTGAGTGGGATTATCTGTTGTAACATGCTGCTCATATGGAATCAACAAAATTGAATTGAAATTCTTTTTTGCTTCTCGCTCGGTGAACAAGCACACACAAACTAGTAATTTTCAAGCAAAAAGGGTATTTTTTCTTTCATTTACGTATTGCACAACAAGATGAAAAGAAATGAGCAGAGAAGCACAGAAGCAGGAGAAAATGATAGAGAACGGGAGATGCGAGGGTATAAAAAAGTAGAACGGTAGTACATTAAGAAGAAAGAAGGTATGAATAATACAAGAAAGTCAGTCGATTTGTACATCAATACAATGCTCTTTTGTTGGGTTTCATGCTCGTCTGTAAAGAATGTTAAGAGCTTTAAGTGGAAGTATAGAAGAATTAAAGCTTTATTCAAAGTTGAAACAAAAAGGCTGGTTGAGGAATTTTCAGAGCTTCAATTGACTTGGTGCTCAATTGAGAACTTGGTTTCAATGCTACAAGTTGTTTCTTAATAAAAGATACTCCATTAGACACAATTGGTGCTAAATGTGAGCTAGGGAAATGGATATAGACTATAGGGCACGGGGGAAGCAATATGATGGCAAAAGAGTTTTATGGAAAATTTAAGAACGAACCTTAATCAAAATGACCATAAAACTTAATGAAGCAATAAATTCCCAGGAATTTCATCAGCTTTATAACAAAACTTACTCAATTTATGGACTATAACAAGCTTTATACTATTCAACCTGCCAACAGGACATATTATGCACACAATATTTTCCAAGAAGATAGAGCACAACAAAAGAAATTTCTTTTTCATTCAACGGAAGCATACAAAAAGAAGTTTTTCAATTTAGATTCTTTTGATTCCATTCCACGAAGCTCCTTAGTGCTCTTCCATCTTCTGTAAAGCATAAACTATCGTTGTTGTATCCATATTTCTTTCGCTTTTTTCATATTTCCGCAACAGAATGAATATAAATTGGCATAAGCGATTTTTTTTCCATTCCAATTTGAATGTTTATGACATAAGGAATTTAAATTTTTAAATTACTGCCAATGTGGAAAACTGAGTTTTATTCTTTTGTAATCTTTTGAATAAATTTGCAAATAAATTTAAAATTTTAAAGGGGTTGGTGTACTGTAATGCTGTTAAGTCTTTGATGTTCAATAAAGACATTTGAATTTGAAATTTGAATAAGAATTGATGGGCTAGATTTTGAAGTACTAGATTTGATGATTTAGGTTGTAGAATTTTTGATTTAATGGAAATTGTGAAAGATTATATTTTTTAAATAAATTTTGAAGCACTAGATTTTGATGGACTAGAATTGATAGCCAATGTTGCGAAATTTTTGATTGAATGGGCATTGTGAAGGACTAGATTTAATGGAACGAAATTTGAAGTACTAGATTTCAATGTAGTAGATTTGATAATCTGGGTTGCGGAATTTTCGAATTCATAAACATAAATCTATCATCCTGATCAATCAACAAGCTTAAGAATCTCCAATTTCTCACTAAGTCGTTCCTTCAAATCTCTCGCATCCTCAAAATTCACAATTTTAATCTAATTCTCATCTATTTCTTCTTCCAGGTTTCATGGATTCGAAAGCGCGACCTCCACATCATGACCATCGGCATCCTCACGTACACAAATGATCAACGATATCAAGCCCTTCACACGGAAGGCTCAGATGAGTGGTCTCTTCGTATATCATCAGCACAAACTCGCGACAGTGGTGTATTCGAGTGTCAGGTATCAACAGAGCCAAAAATAAGTCAAGCATACCGTCTTAATGTTGTTGGTAGGTTTTTAAATGTTAATAATGAAAGGTTTACATTTCCTCTAAAAGAAAACATTTTTGTTATTATTACGTACGCACTTTTCATGATTTTTCTGTTTACCTTATTAATAATACGCTCTTTGTGTACGCAATGAACGATTGGAATTGCGTTATTCACAATATGGAAATGAAAATGTATAAATTTTTGTATTTTGTGGAATGAAGTAAGGGAAATGGAGGTGAAAAATGTGATTTTAAAGGTTTAATGTTGTTGGTGGCTTTATTAAAAGTTGAATAGTAAGCCAAGGAACAAGAGAAGAGCAGCTTAGCACCCATCCTTACAGCTCATTCTCAAATGTGTTATCGAATGAGAACTAAACCCACGCCTTACTAGTTCGAATTAGAATAATTTCTTTTGCATTACCTTCATATAGCTTTAGGTATCAAAGCAACATATCGAGTCTTTTGAGACTAATCTGCAAATGCGAAAGTAAGGGTTCTATGACTGAGTGGTGAAGACCCTCACTTTTGTGAGGATTGAGGGTTCAATTCTTACCAGATTTGGATCACTTAATTAATTTCATAGTTTCGTCGATATGACAAGGATTTCCACCAAAAACAGGCTCATAATACAGCCAAAGCTAAATATTCGAAGCTCTATTTGGTATCAAAAATTAAGATTTTCACCAATTTCTTCACATTTTTCGCACCATAGCCGAGAAATAAAAATTCCACTCGTTGTTCTCACAATTAGCGAGAAATCTTAATAATATTTTCAATATTGACTTAATGTTTTCATAAAACGTAATTTATACCAAAAAAGCAAAAATGTTTTCCGATATTTTCAAAAAAATTTTTTTTTTCCATGAATAATTAAACAATAGCGCTGATAAGGAAGTAGAAATTTTTTTCTCCTTCTTCTATTTTCTTTTATTTATTATTTACATATATTTACGATCTCAATTTTCTCGCTTTTTTATTTCAGTTTCCAAGGCAAAGATTCTAGGCAATCACGAGCTATTCGTAAAAAGCGGCAGTGACATAAATCTCACATGTGTTGCCTCGCAAGTCGCAACGCCACCATCATTTATCTATTGGTATAAAGGCGGTCGAGTGGTAAATTACTCACAACGTGGTGGCATTAATGTGCAGACTGATAGAAATACGAAAACGAGTAAATTAATTATATCTCGAGCGACAGTGGGCGATAGTGGAAACTATACGTGTGCACCGAGCAACTCAGGTATGTTGGACATGTCCAAACAATTGTAGATTTAATTATTATTACATAAAACTTTATCTTACCATTCATTTAGATGCATCAAGTATACTCGTACATGTCATTAGTGGTGGTGAGCATCAAGCTGCAATGAAGCATGGCAACAATAGTGCAAGTAGCCTCTTTTCTCATACTAAATGGAAATTTTATAGCATCAGAGACTTCTCATTGTCACGATTTCAATCGCTATTTACGCTAAAGTCATCAACACTAGTACTCTTATGTTCCTTGGTAGCGTCAAGTACATTCAATTCGTACGTCTATGTCAGATGATTGCATGCATAAATATGAATGTAAATTGATATGAGCATTGTTCTTTTTTTTCGAGAGGGATAAAGCTTGAGCATTTGGAGTGTTGTTCTGTGAGGTTTGTCAGATTAAAGATTTTTTTTTGAATTATTCTTTTGGGATTAAATTGTGTGTTCAGGAAGACTATTATCTGCCGTAAAAGTTTTAATGATATGAAATGATTTGTGAGTCTATAAACTTTTAAGTCTTTTAATGATTTACGGTTATTTTGGGGGGGAACTTTGAAGTTGTTCATGCTTAACGGTGGCAAAAGTGGAGGGGGGGGGGAGTAGTTTATTCAGTGAATAATTAACTTAATCAAGAATTCTGTGATTTTTTAATAGTTATTTTAGAGTTAGGGAAAGCAGGGCCCTTAACCAACAAGGGGAGGGGAGGAGAAAAAATCCCCCCCTTAAATCCTAGAATGATGTTATTCATTAAACCTAATCCCTTTTATATACAAATACGAATATTTTGAAATCATCTGACAAAATTCCTACACAGAATAACCTCCAAACTAAGAATAACCTCAAAAGAACATGACTAGCTCAACAAATCTAGCTAAATAAATTAAAAATAGAGATGTTTTATATATAAAAATAATATAATTATAAAAAATAAATTAAATTAAAAATGACTATAAGAAGATAAATGAATGTACATATAAGATATGTAGATAGATAGCCGTGTATACATATGTAGGTTAGACACGAGATGTAAAAACAAATTATATTGAAAAAAGAAATCTATGTCATCGATAGCAGTGCAAGAGAAACTCAATTGCATGAGCAAAAAATAAAAGTTTTATTTTTCTGTTTCTGATATAAAGGATCAAAGGTAAACTTTTTCATGTGAAACGATGGCAAAGAGTAGATGAAAAAAAAAATAGTTGTCAGGATAGAGTTGAGAGAAAAAAAAAGTTTCTTTTCAATGGCAACGACTGTGAAATGTGATTGGGAAACTAAGTTTAATCATTGATGAAAATAACGAAATTTACTTCACTTGCCATGAACTTTATCATCAACGATTAATCGAAATGTTAATGTCAATAAGAGTGAAAATACTGATAGATTTTAAGATTATTTTCTGACATTCGACAACTATAAAGAAGGTTTTTTTCGGGTAGTTTAAGTTTATCGATTGAATGATGTTGGCAATTGGTGATTTTTGGAATAATTGATGATTTTGTTGAAGGATTTAGAAGTTTTAGAGCAAGTTTCTGCTGTTTTAAGTGCATTGATGAGATTTCTTTAGGTTTCTGAATTGTTCCTTAACGACATTGTGTGTTTCTGCGGTAGATTAGGTATGTGGTGCTGCTAATAACTTATTTATTAGTGGCATAGACATGAATTCGAGCATTAGTTTTCCTTTTTGGGACTCAAACCTATTAAACTTCATGAGTTTTTGTATTTTTCGTGCGGCAGCATTTATATAACAATTTGATTTAATAAGTTTAGTTCTAAAAATTGAATTTTTTTTGAACAAATTTAAAAACAAATTAAAATCATCCAAAAATCCCATTGCTATTCATAACAATCGTGTTAATATTTAAGTTATGATTTTAATTTTTTTAATTCTTTCTGTACACAGAATGGAATTTGAATTTACAAATGAGTGAAAAAAACTTATTTAATTAATTTATTCTAGGAGTTTTAACTTTTTTGAATATTTATTTTTAAAATTTGAAAAAAATTAAATTCTCGATCTCATTTATCATAACAAAGAATGGATAAATATCAAAAATAAAAAAAAGCTCAAAAATATTTTTCAAATAAATACAAAAAAAGTTAAATTTCCTGAATTAATTTCAAAAATTTTAAAAAATTATTCATAAAACTTTTGTTATTTTTTTATGAACCAGAAAAATAATGTTTGAGTTTAAAATTCCTTACTAAGAACTACTCGCGGTTCAACAAAAAAAATAAGCGAATTGTGAACTGCATGGAAGCTTCCTGTATTCATTTTTTTTATTTTCTATATAGGTTGTTATGGCTGCAACTATGAATGAAAAAAAATATTCACTGAATAAAACGAAAAAAAAAAACAACTTTTAACAATGAAAAAGCATTTAATCACTGACAGATTTTTTAATTATATTGAACATGAAATGGTAGAGAGAGTTCGTGATGAAGGATGAAGTTTTGCATGATATCAAAATTATTTCCATAAAAATGGGGCTGTGAAAAAAATGAAAAATTCTCAACATTTAAATTTAATTAATTACAATTTGTAATGCTCTTGTATCTGAATGGGAACTAGGATTGTGGAATGGTGGCATTGATAAGAGCTGAAAACTTGAGCGCATTTTTTTGAAAAAATTGGAATTTTTAACGGTTTTCAACAATTTGAATTTTTGATGGGTTAAAAAATTTGAATTTTTAACGTGTTTTTTAATTTTGAATTTTAACAACATTTAAAAATTTTAATATTTTAACTGGACTTAAATTTTGAGCTTTAAAAGTGTTTTTGAATTTTGAATTTTTAACGATCTTTTAAAATTTGAATTTTTTAACTTGACTTAAATTTTAAACTTCGAACAATTTTTAAAAATTTGAATTGTTTTTGATTTTTTAATCAAATTCAATTTATTGAAAAAATCACGTAAAACACATCGTCAATTTAAAACACATCCAGCAAACCAACCAAAATGACTTATATATCCACCATTCCCTAACAAATTCCTGTTAAACATTTAAATAACGATACAATTTTTATCCTTGTGGATGATATAAAGCATAAAGAAGCAAATTGGAGCACGAATTTTTAATTTTCGGACTTGCATCCAGCTAGCAAAAATAAAACAGATAGCTTCATTAATTTTAGGTTAAGATGTAGACCCAAATTCAGTTTCTGTTCTACATTTAAGGATTATTTGTGTTAATTTTCAAGCAGCTCACATTTCATTATCAAGCACTTATAATTGTTCTGGTAAATTTCTCATTTTAATGGAATTCTATAAAGCTTTTAGTCTTAATTGAAACCTTTTGCTTTGATATTTCATCGTCGTTTATGTTAATGCTTTCTATATAATTACAACTAATCAGGTTCTTTGGTTAATGAGTGACTTTTGTGGAATAACTCAGGAATGGCTTTTGTTGAAGCTTTTCCAGTCAATTTACAGTCTTCAGTATATTCTACTGTAATTGATGATTCCTTTTTTTTTTAATTTCAAGGATGCATTTTGTTTGCATTTTAATCATTTAATTTATGACTTGTTTAAAGCAGTTGTCAATTTTGACGTCACCGATTTTGGTTCCAGGGAAGTAATTTGGGTCTAATCAGGGGAACGGGGGTCTTGGATTTTGTGACAGCCATAGAAGTTTTGTGGGAGAGTGGGGAAAGAAGGGTTTAAAAATCATGTTTTTGGACAGACGTCATAAGGGACTGTTCACTTATTACGTAACGCGAAAAAATGACTTCTTAGACCCTCCCCCCCCTCGTAACAAAATTTGTATGAAAAAAAATTTCCTTGTTTGAACCGTAACAAAATAAGTGAATTCCTAAGTGAATTCCACTAAATTCAAAAAAGTATATTTTGTATTTATAGATTTCTAGGAACTCACCAGAATTTCTTAAAATGTATTTATTACAGCATATTACAATATTTCCACAGAAACTTTCCATCCTTAATGACACATAAATGCTTATGTAAAGACTCTTACATATTCTAAAAAAATCCACAAAGTAACATTTCCAAGGATTCTTTTTGGTTGCTCTTCACCTTAAATAATGTTGAAGGATCATTCATAAATTACGTCAATCGTAAAGTGGGTTTCTACGCAAGTCCCTAATGGGATCTGATTATAATACCCCAAAATGCACCAGAATCCAAAAACTGGCCGAGAAGGGAATTTAAAGCCCGTCTCCTCACATTAACATTAGACATCACTTATAAACGACCCCAAACCACAACAATGAACCCAGAACAATCATTTGCAATTCTAAAACGGACACCAGCATCATGAAGATATCAAAAATTTCCTTTCTAATTCTTTTACAGCAAACAAATCAATTCTCCAGCTAGAAAACTGCACCAGCAGACAAAAGACAAAAGGCACAATGAATTTCCATTATTATATACATTCCTTCATGTTAAATTTTAATTAAAAGTGATTCAAAAAAATAAATTTTTATTCAAGTCCTCGACAGTCTTTTGTCAGCAATGAGAGAATTTTCACATCATGAAGCAGTGCAAATAATGTCATGAAGCCGATTGACGCTCATAATCGACTTTTCGAGTCTTTCTCTCAATTCTATTTAAATGTCATGCCCTCATTTGTTGTGTTGCCACATAAAAGTTGAGGAACAAAAAAAAAGGATCTTATGACTTTTTAACAAAATTTCATTTTATTCATTGCACGAGGAAATTTTTTTTTTCTTCCTTTTGTGTGACGAGATAAATTTTTTTCACACACAATGAAATTGAGTACGGAAGAGATTGTTTGGCGGAGATGTAGGCGCATTAATATTCATTGGATAGTCATGAAGTTTGACTGTTTTATCTATTGTAGAATCTATTATACCTTTGGTCAGCGCTTAACTTAACTTTATCATTCAAAGGTTTCATTTATAGATCTGAGGCCTGGAACACAACTGTTTAGAATGAAGAAGCTCTTTGTGTCTTAGAAAGGCGAGTGCTGAGAACGATTTATGGCCCTATAAAAGAATGGGAGGAATAAAGAAGTTATGTGAATTATATGAGCTGTACAAGGATGCTGATATAGTGAAGGTGCTGTGCATAAATCGCTTCAGATGGGCTGGTCATGTAAACAGATACCCGAAAAGCTCATCAGTGCTGAAAGTAACGTCAGTTAAATTTTTGCATGGTAAGAGATCTCAACGCAGACTGAAGAACTTATAGAATGGCTGTGAAAGCAACTTTTGCAAATGTGCTGGAGATTAGAAACTGACGGAGTTGTGATACCCAGTAATAACGCTGACACGGAATAACTAAGGATAGAGCCAGTATAGACGAACTCTGAATGTGGTTCAATGGGCTTTGTGTGCCTCAGTCAAGGAAGTAAGTAAGAAAGGTTTCATGTAAATTATTTAATTTTTCTAAGAATCGAACATAAGTCGTCAG